AAGCAAGACCAGCCAGACCATCAGCCAGTTCAACGTCCCTGCCAGGATTATACTCGTTACCAAATAATCCTCGAAACGGGGATCTCTCTCCAACTGCATTGGATCAGGATCTTGGGCTGGAAGGGTCTGAGAGCGATTTCTCTAGATGCCACTGAGGGTGGAGGTGAACACCCCCCTTCTATGAAACCCATCCCCTTTCAACAGCTCAGCTGCTGAATCCCCACTGCAGGTAAGGACTCTGCCTGCGAAGGATGCGAGATCTGCAGGCAGGAGGAAAAAAAAGCCAGTGTCTCCTCCCTGTGCTGCTGGGAACATCCCCAGCCTCCCCTCAGCACATCCCACAAAGGCTGCCCCACCATTTATCTCCAAATCCATGTCCGTGTGTCCTTCCTCCCCTCCTTGGTTGGAGGGGGGTGTATGAACGGCCCCGCTGCTGCTTGTCCTTCCCTCATGTGATCCCTGGAAGGAGCCAGACTGGATTTGAAGGGGAGACGCATTGGCCAGGTGAGTGTGGCAGGGGCACACAGCACCTTCATCCATCCTCCTCCTCCTCCCCCCAGCCCCTCTGCTGCCCCAGGACCCAGCACCCAGCAAGGCTTTTGCAGGCTGGCAGCCAGGTGCTGGGTGGCTCTGTATGTTCACTCTGAATGCCACTTCTCTTGGTGACATCTGGGCTCTGTGGGGTCCTCACCTGCCCCAAACAGGGTGCTGGAAACACCTCGGGGCTAATGGGCACCACAGGGACACGGGCACCGTGGGGACACAGGCACCACAGGGATGCACAACCAGCTCAGAGTTATTTCCAGGCCACCCTGGAGCTGAAAAGCAGAGCTCCAGAGAGTGATTCAAGGGACGGTCCAGGCTCCTGGGAAAAGCCAGACCACCAGCTTGGGTGGCCTCACAGCAGCAGGATGGGACGGGAACGTCGCTCACCTGGTGGTAGTGTCGAACTCGAAGGGAAAAATGATGTCGCTGCTGTTGCAGATCTGGCAGATGAAGCCCCGCTGGGTGCACAGGTCGCAGTTGTAGACGTGATGGGAAGCAAACTGGAGCAGAGACTGCAGGAAGGTCTCAAAGACGCCGTCGGCAATCTGTGGAGCAGAGGTATGTCAGGCACTCGTGGAGCCCATCTCCTGTCGGGTTCACACCGTGCGAAATCCACGTTCCAGCCATTCCTTGTGCTGCCACGTGAAGACAAGGCTGTCCTCCAAACCAGCCCCCACCCCACGTGCCTGGGGCACGATGGGACCCCAGAGAGCCGACAGCAGCACCCACAGCCTGCTGGGACGGGGCTCCCAGCTTCGGAGTCGATGCAAAATCCAACTCCTGTCACCTCCAGTGCATATTTTGTATATAGATACAAGTTTGTACGGGGTCGTGCCAGCAGCAACACCGACTTAAATAGAGGTGGCACAATTTATCTCGCGTGATCTCCGCAGTTCTTGGAGGACACAGGCTTGTGCCAATTATTTTTGCAAATTAAAATAAAGGCAACTGTTTGCCTCTAAGCTGACGTGCAAACTCGCGGAGCGCACGTGATGGATGAGAGCAAATCGAAAGGAGAACAAAGCTGTTGGAAACTTTCTGCTGAAGCGGCGCCACGCTCGACGCCGCGTCTGCAGAGAAGGAAACTGGGACGTTTGCACCAGCAAAACCCCGGCGACCACGGCAAAAGCTCTCACCTGCCTCAGATCAGCAACACTGTATTTGTGGGGACACTCCAAGAGGTAGTGCCTGTGATCCAGCCTGCAAAAAAAGCAGAGAGAGGAAGGGGGTAGATGATGTCCACCACATCTCCAACAGCTTCGGAGCAAGGAGGAGCCTGGATGATGCAGATTCTGGAGGAAAATCACTGCAGACCTGATTTTTGCATCGTGCCACGTATCCTGAATCCCACCACTGGCAATCGTGTGAGAGCATTTCAAAGCAGGAAAAAAGAAAATAAATATCTATTTTGCCAGGTGTTTCCTGCCCAGCCAGAAGCTCCTTGGTCAGGAAGGTGTTTCCTGAGTCACATCTCAATGTTTCAACTCAGTCAGCTGCTGGGTGACTCCTTATTGGAGACAACATGGAGCTAAAAAGCAGCCCAGGCTTTGGCAGCATCACTCCCCACTCCAATGGTGAGCGTTGAGGAGGACCAGGGGTTGCAAAGAGGGGGACAAAGGGGTAACATCACCCTGAGAGGGACCTCACCGCTTGCTCAGCTCCTTCAGGGCCCCGCTGCGGCACATAATGAGATAATCTCCCAGCAGCTTCAGCTGTTCCCTGCTCCGGTGGATCCGTCTCATCCTCTCCACGTGGTCATAGAGGCTCTCATTGACCAGCTTCAGGTCGATCAGTGGCTGGTTACGGATTTGGGTGAGGAACTTCAAAGCCTGTCGGCAAACCTGGGGCAGAGAGAGGCAAAAGGTGGGCATGCACCAAGGAGCAGCCCAGGAGGCTCTGAGGGAGGTGTAAGGTGGACATCTCCACCTCTGCTGATGGTGGAAACGTTCAGGTGGACCTTCAGGAAGCATAGGCAGAGGCAGGAACATCTTCCTGCTCCCTGCACCGACCAGACTTACCCCTCGTTTTGTCAGATCCCAGTTGTGGATGAGGCGTGAGGGAATCACCGTCTCGTCATCCCGGTGGCAGCTGTCGCAGTAGTAGAGACCGGAGAAGGCGCAGAGCTTGGGCTTCGCGAAGGAGAAGCCGATCTGCCTGGAGCAGCCTGCAAGGGGCAGGGACCAGGCGATGAGAGGGGACCCACGCTGCCCCAAGAACCTGTTCCCATCACTGCCAAGACAGGGGGAGAGACTTTTGGGAAGGGAGAAGGGAAGAAGAAAGTTTTTGGAAGGGTTGGAGATCAGCTAAAGCACCTGTAGGACATTCGGTGGGAGGTTCTCAGCCCCTTCCCTGTGGATTTAAGGCCACGATGGTCCAACCAGACTTGCTTCACTTTTTCTCCACAAAAAAGCAGTCTGAACTATCCCTGAACCCACTTTTATCCATCAAGTGGTTCAATTGTTTAGTTTTTTTTTCAGGAAAAGTGAAGTTTGGAACTATCTCAGTGCTTTAGGGAAGAACCTGAATCCCACCTGCCTGCCCCATCACCTCCACCAGCAGCTTTGCCCTAATTTGCCTTCACTCAGCACTTTTCTCTCCCGCTGCCACCACAGGCTGCCAAACCCACATCTGCAAAGGATGAGGTCCGGATGGATTAAGCCAAAAAAAGCCTTTATTATAGCGGTGGGTATCCCAGGAGGGACCCAGCTCAGCTTTGCCACCCCATCCTTCACACTTTGGGGCAGCTGGAGTGCATCTCGCAAAAAACTATTCAAGAAGGTCAGATGTTGCTCTCTGAATTAATAATAAAAAAACCCACAAACCCCAAATCATCAACTTTTATGGCTCATTAGGCCCTGATACATAAGGAACCTCCTCCTGTGTCAGGCTGGGAGGGAGGTGAAGGTGAGGCAGGTAAACCTTTCAAAAAACCTACACATAAAAACCTGGAATTTGCCTTTTCAGCTTGCTGCTTCCATCTGTTGGTAGGTGGAAGATGCAGGACAGAGCCTGGAGGGGAAGGTAGAGACCAAACAGAATGGAAAAAATATATATTCTAAAGAAGAGAAGAAATTAAAAGAAAAAACCAACCTGCTGGAGGGTACACGAAATATAATTGAAGCAGGAGAGAAATGCGGAGTTTAATTAACTTACGAAGGTAAAGAGCAAATTACAGCTCCCGTGGAGGTCAGCGAGGGTTATCCTAGGAAACCAGCATCGCCCCGCGTGCCGAGATGAGTTAGTGGAAGGTTAAATGAACGTTTTGCAAAATCAGCTCGTCACACCCATCACAATATTCGCTCCTGTGCTGCGTTACTGGAAAAACAGCATGTGCCCTTGACTGCACTTTCCCTGCAAGCTGGGGTCACAAAATGCCCAGGAAGGGAGTCCTGGGCCTCTTGGTCCATCTAAGGTGGCTTTCAAGCCAAGACCCACCACTGTCTATACCATAAACATCTTAAACAGGAGCCCAGTGGCAGCCCAGTTGGACCTGTGCTGGAGTGGGACGGGGACTCAGCGTTGGGGGGACTCACTCTGTGCACAGAGACCACCAAAGGTGCCGCTGATGTGGGACGTGAAACCCCACCGAGGGGCTTTGGTGCTCCCTGGGGTTTGGATGGGGAAACCAGCCGCTGGCCCGCAGGACTCAGGGCACCTCTGATTTGAGGTCACCTCTTTATCTTGAAGGAACACAACATCGTCCTCCAAGACGGAGCTAAGTTTTTGGACAAGCCAACACATACCTGCACAGATGAAGCTCTGCGAGTCCAGGCCTTTCTCCATGGGAATGGCCACCAAGTATTGCAACAAGAAGCCGTTTTCCTTCACGATGTTCTTCAGGACAACCTGGGAGTGCCCGTCCAAGCTGCCGCCCAGCGTCAGAGCCTCCTCGGCGCTCTCCAGGTAGGACATGAGCACCGCTCGGACCAGCTCCCTCCACGAGGCCGCTTCTTCTGCGTTCTCAGCCTGCAGCTTCAGGACAGCTTTGGAGGTGATCACCTTGAAGAACGCGGGTCCCCCAAGGCTTGTGTCCGGAAGGATGTCCTGGATGGTCTCTATACCGTAACTGTTGCTTAAAATTTTGTCGTTGTTCCTGACTTTAAAGCACTTTAAAGTTTCTAGAGACAGGGAAAATATAAAAGGGACCCAAGTTTTGTCTACGTCCACGTACAGAACAGCCTCTTTTATTGCATCCAGCTCCGGTTCGTGAGCTGGACTCCAGTCAAAGCTGTTTCCAGGCACGTCGCTGTACTGGAGAAGAGCAGTGGAGTCGCTCTGGACGGGTTGGCCTTCACCACCATCTTCTGGGTACTCCAGAGTCTCCCACTCCTCCTCCTCCACCTGCGGCCGGCACTTCTGCAGCGCCTCGCGGATCCTGTCCAACCAGTCCTCGGCTTCGTCTCGAGAAGGAGCTCGTAAGTAGAGTTTTTTCCCCAGGAAAACCAGCTCGAAACGGCCGTCCAAGTGCGTCAGCGCCAGCGACTCGCAGCGTAGCAGGGAATAGCTCTCGACGCAGATGCGGTCCTCGTGGTCCAGGAAGAGCCGGAGCTCCAGTGGCGACAGCTCGCAGGAAAACTCCTTCCATATCCCCATGGCTCCTCTCCGCTCCAGGCTGCCCAGCTTAAGGAGCCCTCGGAAGGGGTTGGAAAGACCTGGGGCAAAAGCAGATGTCTTAATTTAAGAGAAAAAGGGGAAGGTGGTGGAAAGAGAAAAGCCAACAGGCAGCTCACAGTGAGCAACCGGAGGCATCATCACAGCTTTGAGGGCCGGTCCTGGTGGATGGTGAGATGGGGCAGGAGTTTACAGGACCTCGGTCTCCATAATCTGTCCACCTGCATTTAGGTTTTGAGGCTGAGAACGAGTGGGATGGTATAAAAGAAACGTGTCCTGCAGAGTGGACAGGGACATGGGGACAGAGACACCCAGCATACCTCGTCTCCTCCTAAAACACTTCCCACCAGAGCCGTGGTGGGCTCAGCAACGCCAAGAGAAGCTGCTCCACTGTCTTCTGGAGCTTTTAGTGCTGCCATCAGCTCCACAACGGCAAACGGCCACTTCCCAAACAGCCCATCATCCCAAACATTCCCCCAGCCCCTGAGCACTGCCCAGCGCGGATGAAGGCAGCAGAGGGGAGGGCGGCACGTACCCATCTGCCTGCGATGCACAACGCTGAAGCCCTTTCGTTCCCGTTCCGGTGACGTTTTGGGCTTCCCGCTCTCCGAGGAGGGCACCGACAGCCTTTCCAAATCGAGAGCGCTGATCAGCCCCGGGGCCAGCCCCTCGCCAGCCCCCTCCGGCCCGAAGCCATTGGCGTTGACTGTGCTTTCGCCGCTGTCTCCCAGAGAAGGTCGGTAGAAATCATCTTCTGAGATCCAGCTCTTTCTTTTCTGTTAAAAAAAATCCCAATAAATATAAGTATTATCGAATTTATTCAACACTTTGTGCTCCTCACACATGCGCACCCATGGTGACCCCCACTCCACGGGGGCTGCTCCCACACAGACCGAATCCCACGCAGCGATGTGGGCCATCCCCACGTGGATGGCTCCCCCGCTCCCTCCGATCAGGGGACGTTCCATGGGACTGTGTCAGCAGCTGGCAAACGTTGGGATCAGATACTGGTGAGATTCTAAATTCCAGAATTGATCGGTTCTCTCCTCCAAAATTGAGGGCCTTAGAGGGAGTGCACGTTCCCTGCAGTAACCACATACAAGATATTTGGTCCCCGAGGTATTTCTGATAGAGGGTGAAAAACTGGCCCTGCCATGGAAGAGTATGAGCTCGCCTGGAGCAGCGGTACCATCCTCGTACCAGGAAAAGTAGAGATGGGGAGAGGTACAGAGAAGACGTCCAGGATGAAACGGAGACCTATGGCTTAGAAGCAGATGCCACAAACACCAGGTCTGATGAGGACAGGTAAAGAGTAAGGCAGGGAAGGCAGAGGAAACCTTTGTCTCCGTATGACAGGAGGGGAGGAGACCCACAAGCAGAAGAAAGCTCGTTAAGCTGAAAGAAAACATGGCTATTAACTTCTCCAGAAGTTTTTCTGGCTACAAGAATCAAGCAAGGTTCTGGGACAAGGTCCTCAAGCAAACACCAGGAGCAAAACACGACCCAGCTCAGCGCTCCGACAAAAGGGAGCAGCTTCCCCAGACCCAGGCATCCCTTCCAGGGCTGCATCCCACCAGGAATCACCTCTCAACTACCCCACTCTGCTTTCCCAGAGCCTTTTGTTCTCAATAACAAACTAAATGACAGCTGAAGAGCCATCACCAGAGCATCACGGATGGTTTGCAAGCTCAGCCTCCCAAAGTACAGGCAGGCTCTGCTTACTCCCGGATCAGGAATGCAGGTTGCTCCATGAGTCATGCGAAAGCAGAAGGGGGGAATTTCCTGTTGACACCGTATGTTATACATAGATTAGGTCAAATTGGCCCAAAGCCAGGAGGAAGCAGCGGAAATGGGATAACTGGGAGGGAGCTGAAAGGAGCAGGGACGAAAAAGAGAAACCATTTGGAGGGGTATGAAGTACACCCTAAGCTCACTGGGACGGAAACAATGGGAACCAGGATGGAAACGATGGGAACTGGATGGAAATGATGGGAACCAGGATGGAAAAGTCAGTAACAAATGAGATACAGGACAGGGCTGTTCCAAGAGTTTCCCAAAAGCAAAAGGTGGTGGGTCAGCTCCTCGGCAGCAGCAGGGGAAATCGTCGCTGTTTCAGCTAGCCTAAGCACCAGGGAATGCCATCCTCCTCTGGGAACAGATGTGTTATGTCAATATTTTTCCACTGGAAAACTGCAATTTGTTTCCCATCCAGTTAATCCTTTTCCCTCTTTCTATGTGGACCAGAAAGGAAGAGAAGTCCCCACGAGAAACTCGCCTCTCAGGCTGTTTTACCACCTTGCACACAGCCTATGGGCAGATCTGTGCAAGAGCTCATCACTCTCCAGATGTCGTTAACAAAACCAGAAACTTCCTCTCGCAGCCGCGCTTGGCGAGGAACGACTG